AACAAAATGCTTTTCATCAAAGAAGTATCATTTGCATTCAGCAGCATCTAAAGAGCATTAAGCTACTCTTTATTAAGGAGGGTCAGGACCAGTCCGAAGCACTCTATGCTGAGCAGGCTGATCTTTCATTCAGACCAAGCTCCTCCCACCCCACAACAGCACAAATCTTCAAGAAGTCCCCATATCCAATGCAAGCAAAGTAATAAAGAAAATACAGTAAATTTAACATTCTAAGTAAATTACTAAATGTTTCTTAAGGAAAGTGCTAAATTTCCTGTTAAAAATGTTTTCTTCTCTATTTGAAAAATAGTTATAGTAACTCATTTACTTTCCTGAACATTAATCTTCACTTTCATCTTTGCCCCTTGTCCCTCAGCTGTGCTCATTCCACTGTTTCTTTTAAAAATGTACACTGGGGACCAGCAGTTAGCATAATGGCTATGTCGCTGGACTCCCATGTAGTCGACCGCGGTTCATGTCCCAGACCTGGTGGCTTAAAACTCACACCGGGCGCATGTGCGTGTGTGCCCAAGATCCCGAGAGGAGAAGGGAGGAGAAGGGATTGCAGCGTGACCATCCCCCCTGGGGGGTGATTTCTCGCTTTCTGTCTCTATATCTCTCTCTGTCTGTCTGGCGAGCGCATGTGCCCTATAGCGAAAAAAAACTCTCAAAAAAAAAAAAGATAGCAAAAACCTCTTAAAAAAAAAAAATGTATACTGTGAAGTTTGCCACATAATGAACAGTTTGGTAAGCCCACAGGAGAAAAACAGTGTCAAGAAAAAATACATAATACGCTCAATTAAAAATAAGTTGTTGGGACCAGCAGGTGGCATAATGGCTATGTTGCTGGACTCCCATGTAGTAGACCACGGTTTGAATCCCAGACCCGGTAGCTTAAACTCACGCCAGGTGCTTGTGTGCATGCCCAGAATCCCAAGAGGAGAATGGAGGAGAAAGGATTGCAGCATGGTCATCCCCCTCCCAGGCGGGGGGGTGTGATTCCTTGCTTTCTGTCTCTCTCTCTCTCTCTGGCGAGTGCATACACCCTATAGCAAAAATCTCCACCACCCCCCCAAAAAAAAGAGTTGTTAAGACCTCTTAACTAAAAAAAAAAAAAAAAAAATTCTTTTTTATAAAGACAACTTACTTTTATCATTTGAATTTATTAAATGATTAACCCCTTTCAAAGTAGAATACTCATAATGTCCGTAAGGCAGAAAAGTAAATGAATACTCAAAGACAAAAATATCAAGCTAGAAGATTGTTCCCAACAATCACAGCCCAATCCAAACTGAACCTCAGTAGATCTGTACCTGACTATACAAGATCATTTTATCATTCTGCTTGGGAACATTTCTACCTCCCAGGTAGTACAGGAAGGGGCTGACCATCTGTGAAGGCTGTATTAAAATGTATTCCGTAACAGAAATTAGTATAATTAAAACCTCTGTGTGATCATAAAGATAGGTATTGGACTAAAATGGTACAAATGTTCCCAACAGCACAAAGCAAACGGTAAAGATTTGCAGCATAAATACATTGATTTATTATTCTTCTATATATACAACATGCATATCATCAAAAATGATGTCATACAAGCCACTGAATGATGTGATAATAAAAATAATAAAAATCCATAAAACATAAATAAGGTACCTGACAGTGAACACATAAAAACATCAAAACATATCATCAAGGAGCAACTCTGGAATGCAGTGGTTAAGTGCTATGTAGAAGGAGCTAGATCTGGCATGGCTCACTGTGGTTCAGTTACTGGCCCTGGTGGCCTGAGGAACACACCAGGTTTCTCTCTCTCCTTATTCTATGTGCAAAGAACTCCTAGCAATAAAAAATTTTAAAAAGTAATTTAAAATATAATCTAAACATAACATTTAAAAGAACAAATGGCTGGGAACAGCAGCTGGAGTAGTGGTTAAGGTGCTAGAGTCCCACACCTGGTGGTTTGCTTTCACCCTTTCTCTCCTCTCACTGTCTCTCTACAGCAAATTAGAAGATAATAACAATACATAAAATTAAATAATTATTTTAAGAATGAATGAATGGTAAATATTTAACATTTGTAGAAATAAAAGCTAAAGTAAACATGACACGAAACTACTTCTTTTCATACACTGTCATAGCTCAGGATGCCTTAACAAAATATCACAAAACACATGTGTGTAAAAAATAAAACTTTAAACCAGGCAAACTGTCACAGCCCCAGAGGATAGAAATCTATAATGAAGGTGCCAACCAGTTTAGTTTCTGGTGAGAACTCTCTTCCTAACTTAGAGATGGCAGCATTCTAACTGTGTTCTCATGTGGCAGGGAGACAGTGTGACTTTTTTTTTTTTTGGAGAGGTTTTTGCTATAGGGCGCGTGTGCTCGCCAGACAGACAGAGAGAGACATAGAGACAGAAAGCGAGAAATCACCCCCCAGGGGGGATGGTCACGCCGCAATCCCTTTTCCTCCATTCTCCTCTCGGGATCTTGGGCACGCACACACACGTGCCTGGCGTGAGTTCTAAGCCACTGGGTCCAGGACGCGAACCGTGGTCGACTATGTGGAAGTCCAGCGACATAGCCATTACGCTAACGGCTGGTTCCCAGTGTGACTTCTTTGATATCTCTCCTTATAAAGACACAAGTCCATCCAAATCAAAGCCCCATGCTCATGGCCTCATTTATTATTACTTCTTTACAGGCCCTACCTCCAAACACAGCCACACTGGGAGTTAGGGTATCAACATATGAGTCTGGGGAAAACATAAACATTCAGTCCATAGTATTTTATCCCTCACTCCTCCAATTTATGGCAAAATACATTCATTCTATCTCAACAGCTCCAAAAGCTTTAATTCACTCAAGCCTCAATGCTGAAGTCAAAAGTCACAATGAAGTATCATCTAAATCAGATATGGATGAGACTCAAGGTACAATTCGCCCTGAGGCAAAATTCCTCTCTAGCTATGAACTACTAAAACCAAACAAGCTATATATTTCCAAAATACAATGAAAGGACCAGTATAGATACTTCCATTCCCAAAGGGAAAAAATAAAAAAGACAGGGATAGGCCAGCAGGTGGCCTGGGGGTTAATTAAGGTGCTAGAGGTTGCAGGGTTTGAGTTGTAGACTGGTGGCTTGAAAAATCACACCAGGCATGGATGCACGTGTGACTAAAATCCCAAGAGAGTACTGCAGGAGATAAGACTAAGGCATGGCCATTCCCCATGGTGGGGAGGTGATTTCTTACTTTGTCTCTTTCTGGCAAGTCCACACACCTATAGCAAAAACTAAAAGCAAAACAAAAAAAGGAACGCAGGGGTGACAGGTCCAAAGCCAAATCCAAAACTCAGCAAGGCAAATTCTGTAAGGTTTGAAAATAATCCCTTTTGGCTCAACACTCTACCCTCCAGGCCCGCTGGGATGGTATTATCACCCCCATAGCTCAGCTGGCTCCCAGAAACTAAAAAAACTCTGCCCTTTGAAACTGAGCAGGAACCAAGTCTGCTACCTGGGCATAAAGAGGGTGTAGCAACCATAAATCTCTAAATACCATGAATATCCTTGATATCTTTCTTCATCTTAAAGGATTACTATATGCTCACAGCCAGTTCTATTTTCCAGTGTGTAAAATCCCAGGAGTCAATCTTCCTTCATTTCATTCCATTTTCTCTACTTCCTTTAGGCAGTGTCTATGGTAATATAATTTCATCTCTAAAGGGGGTAAGAGTCTTTAAAAGGTTCACGGGAAATATGTATTATGGAAAAACGAATGCATGGATTTCAAAATTTTTCTGCATCAAAATAAGTGGGTAATTTAATTCTATTCTTCCACAATATCTATGAAGTCTCCTCATATTCCTTCTGCTGAGGTGGCTGCTTTAGTTGGTGGTTCGCACCCATATTAACCTTCATCAAATACTTCTCTGGCTATATCTTCGATGTTCTCTTCAAAACAAGCTTACTGAATTTTTACAATACGGAGAGCCTGAAAATTTTCTAAATCTTCAAGTTCTGGTTCCTATTATGCTTTGACGATTCCTTCAATTTTTCTCTCTCTTTTAAATTTCACTCTAAGCGGTCAGGAGAAACGAGGCCTCATGTTCAATAAATACTGGGCTTAGCAATTTCCTCAGCTAAATAGCCAAGATCATCCCTTGCAAATTTTGCCTTCCACAAAGCAATAGAACACAGTTCAACCAAGTTCTTTGCCACTTTAAAATAAGGAACATCTTTCCTGTAGTTTCCAATTCACTGTTTCTCTTTTCCTTCTGAGATCTCACAAGAAGAGCCTTCGATGTCTGCATTTCTACCAACATCTATGTAAGATGGCATACGTATGTCTCTGAGATTACGGAAACTTTCTCTCCAGCTCTTCTTTCTGAGCTGTCACCCTAACCACCTTTAACATCCATGTTTCTACCAACAATGGCAATCTAGGCTATAGCAAATACCTCAAAACTTCCCCACCCTCTACCCATTACCTAGTCCTAAATCCACTTCCACATTTTAGGTACTTTTTATAGCAACCCCTACACACACACTCTTCTGGCACTATTTGAGCTGCCATGACAAATTATCATAAACTGGGGGACTTACAAACAACAAAAATTTATTTTCTCACAGTTCTAGAGGCTGGAAGTCTAAGATCAATGTTCCTACCAATTCAGTTTGTGGTTAAGGGCTCTCTTCTTGGCTTGCAGATGGCTGTCCTCTCACTCTGTCCTCACATGAGAGAGAGTTGGCTTCTCCTCTGACAGGTCCTAGTACCTTGGATCACGGCTCCATGCTCATGAACTTATTTAACACTAACTACCTATTTACAGACCCCATCTACAATTATAGCCACACTGGAGGTTAAGGTTTCAACACAGGAGTTTGTAGGCAACATGAACATTCAGGCCATAACAGATCAATTTATTTGAAAATTTGAAAATGTCCAGAGGCCTACTCGGATAGCCCATATCGAGTCTTCGGGGTAAGTAGACATGCTTACACTGGTGTCGGCCACAGGCTGAGGTGTCGGCAGCTGCACCACGTATCTCCAAATATGGGCAGTCTGATCGCCAGAAGCTGAAGAGAGAAACCAAGGGGAAATTACCCAACATACACACCAGGCACACAGTGTACTTTTGCTGTGCTCTGGTTACGCAGCATCAGTCGGACTTCTCAGTCATCACGTAGTGAAATAAATGTACTTAAAGTTATTTCAGACGAAATAATACCAAAGTGAACAGAATAAATGTGTAAAATTAAGATAATGACTACTTATTAGAAAAAAATTTCCTCATTCATTTTTGGGTAGAATGCTGTAGAAGTGCAGAGAAAATCTATAAACAGATTTTGTTCTCCATCTATCTAATCTAAACACTATTATACTATTTAACCTGTGGCTGCAAGAGCTTTTGGGATGTTTCAGGAAAGTAAGTAATATTCATTTTCATCCATTCTGTGGTGACAGGACCTTACACTTTGCCAGGCACCTATTAAAACTATTTGTGTTACTTCCTTGTTCCTCTTTTTACACCGAAGTTTGTGTGGCAATGCTTTAATTTAGAATGGAAAGACAAAAGACATCGCTTCTGCATAGACCAGGACCTCGGATCAGCAGAATGGTCTCAGCTTACCCCTCACAAAAACAGTCCAGCTTCCAACTTCTCTTCACTGCTGAAAAGCTTCCTAAAGAGTTACCCTGTGCTGGTAGTGGTCTATTTCTTATAATAAAAATGAACTTATTGCCCCAACATGCCAATCTCTCTTCAAATCAACATTATATCCAAATCCCAGTCAACTCCTCTATTGTTTTATTGGTTTCAGTTTCCAAATAGTTCCTTTTTAAAAGGTCTCTTGGGTTCTCTGCTCATTTCTAATCCTTCAGTGTCAATCCGGACACATCCAACTGTCACTGGTCTCCTTGCCTCCTTCTGACTTTCTAATCATAGAACCCACCATTATTTTAATAAGGTTTAAACTCCTTGCCTCTTTGCTCCTCAAATACTGATTAAGGTAGAAATGAGCTACCATAACATAGGCCAGTTAAAATGACTCTCCTACCAATTCCTCTCAATTCAGAATTCTCTGACCAAACTGAGTGACTCACTGCCTCTAACACATCCAAAGTATTTGTTCTTAAAGAACTCCACCTGCTCAAGGCACCTGATCGTCTCAACTTTTGTATTCCATTTGGGGTCAGCAAATTCTGGTCCATGGGACCAATCTAGGCAGGTCACCACTTCTGTATAGGAAGTTTACCAGCACAGTCAAGTCCATCTGCTTGTGTTGTCTCTGCTGCCTCTGTACATAGCAGAACTGAGTGTTATGACCCACAGAGATGAAAATATTTACTATCTGGTCCTTCATAGAAAACGTCCACTGACCTCTGGTCTGCACATATCCTTCAAGATGATCACTGGTGTCTCAAAAGTATCACAGACCTCTACAGGGAATTTGACAATATTTCAAGAAAAGTCCTCCATATAATGAGGCTATCTCCAAAAGCAACAAATGAAGATACGTTTTACAAACCACTATAAGAAATGAGGATAAGAGGCCAGCAGGTGGCACGGTGGTTAAGGATGCTGGAATTCCCACATGGCCAACCACAGTTTCAGTCCCAGACCTGGTAGCTTTCTCGCTTTCTCTCTCTCTCTCTCTCTCTCTCTCTCTCTCTCTCTTTCTCTCTCTCTCTTTCTCACTCTCTCTCTCTCTCTCTTGCTTTCTCTCGCTTTCTCACTCTGTCCCTCTCCCTCTCTGGTTTTATTTCTTTATTTACATAGATAGATAGATAGATAGATAAAGTTAAATAAAAATAATTCTTTTAAAAAAATGAGGATAAATCCAAACTATCATAGCTTAGGTAAATTATGCAGAAAGAAATAAAAATCTGATGCTGGTAAAATGCTATGCCTCAATAGTCTTAGTTTCCTCATTTATTTTAGAAGCTTATAATGTATGATAATGCAAGAATTATAATAATATTATTATAATAATAATTATAATACAACAATTACCAAGTTTCAAAGAACTATGTTATAGTCTACTATGAATCATCACAGGCAATAATAAAATACTTCATAAAAAGACTTCAAGAAAAACATAAATTGATTTCAATCTCACAATAAATTCAAGTTAACCTAACTGGCAATTCATATTAGATTTACAGAAGAACTTCTCAGTGTATTTTTTTTTTATTCACTATCATTTAACTTATAAAATGTCTACTAAACACTGTCTAACTTTAAGCCATATATATAGATACACATAAAAGTATTATACTATTGATAAGGAATATTTATAGTTTTTTTAAGTTACCAAAAATTCTATTGAATAAAGAAAGAAATTAACCTACCAGTGAGAGCCAACTGCTCTGAAGGATGAAATTTTATAGAATTTACTGCAAAATAAAAACATTACAAAAACAGGTTTAAAGTAACAAAAATGTTATCAATTATTTATTAACTATAGCATACTTTACAAAGTTTAAAAATTAAAAGAACTATAACAGTTCAATATTAGCTCTTCCCAATTAAGCTATTTACAAACATGTACATTAAAACAGAGGTACAGGGACCAGCAGATGGCATAATGGTTATGCCACTAAACTCCCAGATAGCCGACAGTGGTTTGACTCCCTGACCCAGCGGCTTCAAACTCATACCGGGTGCGTGCCCAAAATCCCAAGAGGAAAATGGAAGAAAAGGGATTGCAGTGTGGCCATCCCCACAGCGGGTGATTTCTCACTCTTTGTCTCTCTCTCTGACTCTCCGACGAGCACACGTGCCCTATAGCAGAAATCTCTCTTATGAGAAAAAAAAAAAGAGGTACAATTTAAAAAAACTGAAGTATGAACTACCAAACTGTTAAATTATAGACTACATAGAAGAGTATTAATAATACTTATAGACAAGGGAGCTGTTTAGAGCTAAAAACGAATCAGAATGAAAAAAAATGACAATAGGAAAAGACAAACTATAGAACAGCAGACACTGTTTATTGCCTATCCGATTGGCCATATCCCCACTCTGCCCTCCTTCCCAAATTACAAAGCCCTAATCTGTTCTATGACAAGTAGACACCTCAAGAACACACAGAATATAACCCTCTGCCAGCTTCAGGAAATAAATCGGGATTCAATTAAGCCACGTATAGCCCCTATTCAGCTTACCCAGATGTGTCCATGATAGAAAAGAGGGAATATGGCAAAGGACTTCTGAGGGTGCACTCATTTTCTTGGTAAAGGAGCTAGGGGAACAGCAGACTCAGAACATCTTGTCTTCCCCTCCTTCCTGAGTTGACTGCAGAGGGGATCAACATGTGATCACCAAGACAGTACGCATGAGCGCACAAGCCAGCACACTGAACCTGCGGCCCAGCTCCAGCAGACTGCCTAGGTACCAATCTGATCCTGAGCCCATCCTACAAACCTAGGAGTTTGCAGTAGTGAATGCCAGGTCTTGGTGGGCTGGAGTCACTACTAGTCAGTCTGATGATAAGACTTAAGCTCAAGTGGGAACCAGCAGTTAGCGTAATGGCTATGTCGCTGGACTCCCACGTAGTCGACCGCGGTTCGTGTCCCGGACCCGGTGGCTTAAAACTCACGCCGGGCACATGTGCGTGCGTGCCCAAGATCCCAAGAGGAGAATGGAGGAGAAGGGATTGCGGCGTGACCATCCCCCCTGGGGGGTGATTTCTCGCTTTCTGTCTCTATGTCTCTCTCTGTCTGTCTGGCGAGCGCACGCGGCCTACAGTGAAAATCTCTCAAAAAAAAAAAAAAAAGACTTAAGCTCAAGTCATCTAGGGAAGTCCAACCCTTACTTTCATAACTTGTGAGGGAAATGTTATATCCCTTATATAGAATAGCAAGGGGAAAATTGCCAAATGTGAATAAGTTATCTCTTTTAATGAAATTTTGTTAGCTATACCATTATATTTTTATAAGGAACTAAATTTTTAAAATGTTGGTTAGGGGCCAGGAGGTGGCATGGAGGTTGGAGTGACTGGATTCCACGTTGCCAACCCCATGGTTTGAGTCCTGGTGGCTTAAATATGCCGGGTGCATGTACATGTGCCTGTACACGTGTGATCAAAGCTCCAAGAGGAGAATGGGGAGAAGGAATGGTGACATGGCCATCCCTTCTGCTCCCAGGGGGTAGTTTCTCACTTTATCTCTGTCTCTGGTAAACACACATGCAAGCTTAAAAATAAAGTAAGTTAGAAGATGTGTTTTGCTATTCACATTAAGATACAGATAACTCTAAGAAGAGTTAGTAAAACTTGCATACACCTTTTTAGTAATAAACTAAGTAATAAGTAATGCTAGAAATAAACTATCACTGTAACTGACATAAATTCTATTAACACTCTCAATTTCAATGAGTACTTTTCATAAAGTCAGAGATTTATTTTTATTTTCTTATATCTATGTAAACCTTTAGCAAACCACTAATAAAACTGGGAACACTAATACCATTTACCTCAAAATTAATGCGAGGTGTAAATGAAAGAATGCATGTCAAATACTTAGCCGAAAAATTTGCATCACTTGGCACTTAGAGACTGTTATTAATAGTATCTGTAGTGATGGTTGATTTTTAGCTGTGCAGACATAATAGAGGAAGACTGATCACTGAGCTCATCAAAATTACAATATAGCAGTCTCCTTATCCAGTACCACCAATGGACGCTGCAGATAGTACCAAATCCAATACATATCACATTTTCTTCTATCCATATGTACCAATAAAAGTTTAACTTATAAAGTACAGTAAGATATTAGCAACAACAATGAAAAGGAAAATTGTTAACAATATATCGTAACAAGAGTTATGTGAATGTGCCATGCATGCACACCTGCACTCTTGAATGCTCTTTCTCTCAAAATATCTAATTACAGTTGACCATAGGTAACTAAAATCACGAAAAGCAAAACTATGATAAAGGAAACTAATGTATAATTATGTTGGGAGGTGAGGACTGAAATCACACGGCAGAAAATTACTTTATAAAAAGTTATATAACCTTCCAAAGCAGAATTCAACAGATACTGGCTAAAACAGAAAAAAAATCACCAAAAATCAGCACCATGAAATGTCATCTAATAATGTGGCAACAGTGCCCAAAACACAGCTAACACAATTCACAGTGGTCAAGACTCAGAATAGAAAAGAGAGAGGATGCCAGCAACTGCTATTTTTCATAACAAGTATCAAAGACATGTGCATGTGTAAGTAATACAAATTTAAGCTGAAGTCTAAAAAGAGAAGGATAAATAGGACAACAATCTCCTCTGCTAGTGGTGTCTCTACCTTTAAGAGGCCCAGACGGAGCAAAGCTGCAAACCTCACACACTTTACTCTCTTGGATGCCAGAAGGTTGGATCTATAGTTGGATGTTTCAACATGGGAAGGTTGAAATTAACCTGAAAGAACAAAGGAAAGCCAACAAGAAACAAAGCAAGGCTGAAGGATAGGAAGAGAATTCTTCTTACTAGAATGTAGTCTACATCAGACTCACTCTATTCCATTACAGAGATCAATTATAAAAGCTACATGCAAATATCAAAAAATAAACAGAAAGTTTAGAATCATCACCCAAAGCAGCCAGGGCTGAAGACCCCAGAAAAAAATACTGGTGAGCCTCACAACTCCACCATTTTGTCCTCAAGGCACAGAGATCACCTAGGGAGCAAAGGGTACAGTTAAGTAACACTGTAAACTCTGGGCAAAGCAGCAGGAGCTGAGGGCCCCAAATTCCCAGTAGAGGTGCCCTGAGGAAGAGGGCTGGCTAGGCCGAGTGCCCTCCAGTCACTGCCAGTATTCACAATGAGTATATAGGGCAAGCAGCCATAAACCAAGCAGAGGACAGCCTCTAAGAGATAAAAGGCTGAGAATACTGAAAGCAAAATTAAAATTCAAGGTATATGAGGGTAAATTCTTGAAAGATAACATGTTTGGAACAAGGGGAAACCAGAAATACATCACTGCTCCTAATGTTAGCTTGAACTTCATCTCCAGTTATCTAGTCCTTATCTATATCAAGGCTGGGCACCCACACTCTATCTACTGAATAGAGAAAAACCAAATCCTCTCTAGAATAAAGGAATGCCATTCAGAGCCTGTATGCATTTTTCATACACAATGCCAGATCATAAAATAAAAATTATTAACTTGAAAAAATATTACATAAATAAACAAAATCAAAGAAATCGCCAGGGCTCAGTTGTACAGTGACTGTGACCTGGAAGATAGGGACACAGACATGAATGGGACCAGATCTCTGCCTTTCAGACATGAAGAAATGCACCGTGTAGAAGAGAAAACAAAAATAAAAATTATGAGAAAGGAAAAGAAAGAGTTACCAGACACAGTAGGAGACATAATCAAATGACTAAAAACCCAGAAGAAATGGACTATACAAGGACTCCCACAGGAAATTCAGGTATTGGCCAGTAGATGCTCAATGGTACTACCACTCCATACACACCAGGACAGCTAAACTAAAACACTTAATAATGCCAGCTGTACACCACTGGTATAACAAGAGAATGACGAGGGTAAGGAAGCACTTCGGAAACTGGGACTATATGCTAATGCTGAACATCCCAAAGAATTCTACATTAAGATATTCACCAAGCAAAAAGGACTATGTATCATGAAAGACTAAAACAAGAACTGCAAACTTATAATTATTTGTAACAACTCAAAACTGGAAATACCCAGATAAACTACCGACTGTTCTATAATAGTTCCACACAACAATGCAACATAGGTGAATCTCACAGTCAACATCTTTACCTTGAAGTAGCTACACAGGTGTTAACCATCTTGTAAAAATTCTCACTGTGCACTTATGACTTGTGCGTTTTTCAGTGTGTATGTTATACTACAATAAAATGTTCACAAAGTATGATAAAAAGTTTCAGGCACCCATTAAGGTCAGGATAAGGAAGGGACTGAACACAGAATTCATAAAAAGTTGGTACATAAGAAGTAGTTGTAATACTAGGAAGCAGTTGTAATCCCTGTACTTTTTACCTCCTCAACCCACAAAAAAGGCTGGCTCACAATGAACTCATAAATAGGATAAGAGAAGATACTACAGGACTGATGATAAAAAAGGAACTCCAGAGAACAAGAAAGAACCACAAAAATTAAAACCATGATGGCAAAAACTTTTTCAAGTAAGGGATAAAGTGCAGGAAATCTCTAAGAAATAATTTTTTAAAAAGTAGAAAATAAAGATAAAATTAAAGGAACAATATAAGATGTCCAACATCCTAGTAATAGGAATTACCAAATATAAATATTTCTCAAAGAGAAGTTCCACTGAATATCTAGTACCATTCAAACATAAAAAGTGCACTAGTGAAAGAAGAAAAGACCTTAAAGCTTCTAGAAAGAAACACAAGTTTATCTACAAAGGTTCAGGATTCAAAATACCATTACACTTAATATTAATACCAGAAGCTACAAAAATAGGACAACAGAACAATACCTTCAAACTGGTTGAAAGAATATCATTTCCTATATATAATTTAATCAGCCATATTATCAATCCAGTGGAAAGATGAAATCTATTTTTCAAACATTAAAAATTGTTCTTCCAAAATACCTTTTATAAAGAAGCTATTAAAAGACTGGCTTCCATGGAGAAAAAAGATATGAGATCCAGAAATAAGGGGATATAGCAGATAAGAGGCTAACTGAACGGTCAGGAGGAAGCTAAAGGGGGGCCTCACAGACCAGGTACTTGGAAGCCAAGTCAAACAGGGAGGAGCTCCAGGGAGGGAATGAGAACAGCAAAAGGAACAAGAGTTCACCTGTTGAGTCTGATCACAGAGAGCAATTTTACAGAGTTGGTCGAGTTTAAGGATAAATTAGGGATATAGGGCCACAGGTGGCGTAGTGGGTTAAGGGTACTGGACTCCTACATGGCCAACCATGGTTCATGTCCCAGACCTGGTGGGTTGCTTTCTCACTTCCTCCCCCCTCCCCAGTCCCTCTATGGTCAAATTTAAATAAATAAATAAAGTTAAATAAAAAGAATTATTTAAAAATAAAATGAAAATGAAAAATAACAAAAGGATAAATTAGGGATACCAACCAAAAACTAATACTGATCCAGAAAAAACAAAACTGGGGATGTAATTAATGTTCAATACACAAGTAGGTATGAACAAGGGGTACCTTCAAAAAGTTCATAGAAAATGCATATTACAAATAAAATGCATATTACAAATAAAATTATACATAAATTTCAATTTGTTGTACCAAAATAAACTTAATTCCATTTCACCACAAACTTTAATTGAAAGTCTTCTACTGCAGTCATAATTACCAAAATCTGAATATCTATTTAAATAAAAATCATGATTTAGGGAACCAGCAGTTAGCGTAATGGCTATGTAACTGGACTCCCATGTAGTCGACTGTGGTTCGTGTCCCCGACCTGGTGGCTTAAAACTCAAGCCAGGCGCGTGTGCATGCGTGCCCAAGATCCCGAGAAGAGAATGGAGGAGAAGGGATTGCGGCGTGACCATCCCCCCTGGGGGGTGATTTCTCGCTTTCTGTCTCTATGTCTCTGTCTCTGTCTGTCTGGCGAGCGCACGCACGCGATAGCGAAAACCTCTCAAAAAAAAACAATCATGATTTAACTATTTAGGGTGAGAAGGGGTAGAGAAGTACACATAAGTGGTCTTGCTCATAAAAAATGCCTATTTAAAAAACTGCATAGAGGGATCAGCTGTTGACGTAATGGCTATGTCACTGGATTCCATGTAGTCAACTGTGGTTCGAGTACCAGACCCAGTGGCTTATACTCACACTAGGAGCATATGAATGCATGTGTGCCCAAGATCCCAAGAGGAGAATGGAGGAGAAGGGACTGCGGGATGGTCATGCCCCCAGGGGGGTGATTTTTCGCTTTCCAAAAAAAAAAAAAAATTGCATAGATTTAGCACCTAAATAAACTTATATTTTAATTCTACTTTTCCAAGAACTTTTTGAAGTTCCTGCACACGTGAGGTAGGTCATTTCCCTTAATATTTGTCTAAAACTCAAAAATTAAGAGGTAATGAAATAGGGCCAGCAGATGGTGTGGAGCATAAGGCACTGGACCTCACATGACCAGCTTTGCAGTTCAAGACCTAGACATAGTGGCTTGTGAATCATGCCAGGTACATGTGTATGTGTGTCCAAAATCCCAAAAGGAGAGTGGAGGAGAAGGGATTGCAGTGTAGCCATCTCCCCAAAGGAGTGATTTCTCACTTTCTCTCTCTCCCTAGCTCTCTCGCTCTGTCTCTCTCTCTGGCCAGCACACTCACACTACAGTAAACAAACAAACAAAAGTAATAGGTTGGCATGTAAAAAACAGAAGTAAAAGGCAGAAGAATACTCAAAACAGCTATTGCTTTTTGAGAGGTGAAAATAGAGAGTGAGGCAAGAGACTTGTCAATGAATTATAAAGAAGGCTGTATAATATATATATATATATAATATATATATATATATACACACACACACACACACACATTTAATTTTTAAGTGTTTTCAAAATATAAATTTCAGGAAAAAGAACAGATAATACAGCATTCCTTCATTCCTTACTCTTTACTATAAAATTCTGTTATACTTTTGAGCATCTATCATATATTGGGTTGTCAGAAATGTCAGGATGCATTTTTGCATAGGAAAACATAGGAAAATACATCATGGCTTCTCTGAGGACCTAAGATACTCCAGGTGTCACATCAGAAAGACACACGCAGTAGGACAGCACCCCAAACACAGTCTTTTGAGCCAGAAGGTGGGAGGGGACACATATAGGGATGTAGTATGGAACAAGGATGCCTAATATGGGAAAGGCACATGTTTATGAGATAAGGGAAAAGCCCACGGCAAGAAAGACAGGAGGAATAACTGAAAGAGAGAAGATTCTAAGAAACGGAAGAGCTGGGGTCTGTAGCTCACTGGAAGCCTTGGCCTTGGTAAGGGACCAAGGAGACAGCAAGAGGGCATTCAGAGGAATGGGCTTCACCCTAATGTGCAACTCTGCAAGCTCAGGTGAGGCCCACTTCCAGTCTGCCTACAAAGGTGAAGGGTGCAGTGGACGCAGGCAGAGGAAGGAGCTGGTGGGAGTAGCTCCTGACAGAGACTCGAGAGGTAAACATTCCAGGAAGAAGGAACCACACAGTGAGTCTGGGAGGAAAGTAAAGAATTAAATTTGGTCAGAACAGTGGTACACACTCAAGTATAATTGGAAAGACACAAGAATGCTACTGTAGGTACTATTAACGACAAGCATGCAAGCACAATAATAGAAGATACTTTAACCTGACTATATCCAAATTATTACTACATTAAATCTCTAACATAGCTATTTATTTCATGATGAATAATGCCCACATTTCAATTACAAAATTTCCTACATACAGTTTATATGTAACACTAGAGAAAATGCATTTGTGAATTGCTTGGTAGTTAAGCTTCCTTTTATTAAAGACATATAAACTAGGGCACAGAGTTCATTCTAGTCTCTGAATAAACCACACTGCTCCCTGACAATCAAAACAATAAAACTGCCTATCAAATAACACAGGTGGCTTAAAAAAAACAAAAACAAACAAACAAAAAAAAAAACAAAGCAAAAGACAGCTTCTGACCACAGAAGTCACTTGGGTGAAGGCTTACCTGACCCCACATGGCCTGTGTACGTGACGAGGGACTTCCCTGTCTCTATGCTCCACAGTAAGGCTGTGTGATCTGCAAGAATGGAATAAAGAACTTATAACTTAGACATCAACAATGTTATAGTTGTTTATTAAAAAAAAAGATAAAAGCAGTAACAATGAGGTTACACTACCACTAATATTTCTTGCAACTTTGATTCTCCTACTATATAAAATTTAATTGACTGAAGAAAACATTTATAAGAAGATAGAGATTGGGAACCAGCAGTTAGCATAATGGCTATGTCGCTGGATTCCCACGTAGTCGACCGCGGTTCGCGTCCCAGAGCCGGTGGGTTAGGCCTCACGTCGGGCACGTGTGTGTGTGTGCCCAAGATCCCGAGAGGAGAGTGGAGGAGAAGGGATTGTGGCGTGACCATCCCCCCTGGGGGGTGATTTCTCGCTTTCTGTCTCTCTGTCTCTCTCTCTCTGTCTGGCGAGTGCACACGCCCTATAGCGAAAACCTCTCAAAAAAAGAAAAAAAAGAAGATAGAGATTCATCCAAGCACATGGAACTGGCAAAAAGGTAAGCAGAAACTCAATTCTTTCAGTTTACTATTACATGTCATGCTTGACACTTACAGTCAGAGGTCATTAATATTACAGTTTCATTGTTTTATAAATAATTAAAACTTTTCAGGTCATCTTCCAATATGCAGATTCAAGTTATACCCAAATCCAGTTAAAACTGAGATAATAAATATTCCTTTGAGTCTTTCCTCTCATAGGCAAAATTTAAAAAATTAAAAAAAAAAAAAAGAAAAAGTGGGACCAGCAGTTGACATAATGGCTGTGTTGCTGGATTCCCATGTAGTCGACCACAGTTTGAGTTCTGGACCCAGTGGCTTAAACTCACGTCAAGTGCATGCATGTGCATGCCCAAGATCCCGAGAGGAGAATGGAGAAGGGATTGTGGAGTGGCCATCCCCCCTGGGGGGGGGGGGGTTTTTTGCTTTCTGTCTCTCTGTCTCTCTCTGACTTTCTGGTGAGCACACGTGCCCTATTGCAAAAATCTCTCAAAAAATAAAAACAAAAACAAAAAAAGCAAACTTAACAGCAAAATTTGAGAAAGAAATGCTAATTTTCCAAATAAAATTTCAGAAATATCAGAAAAGACCCCTATTCTTTTTTAATTGATTTGCAAAGCAACCCTGAGTTGCTCATGTGTAAAACAATTTCAAGTAAGCAAGAGAACTTTCTTCATCACTTAAACTCATTTTATGTTTTATTTCACCTCAAAAAGCAGAATGTGGTGGGTAATTAACGTCTCACAAGCTAGAAAAGACATTTTTAACAAGCAAGGAGCCACCATTTTTCATTTTAACAATTTGTCTGCAAAGTGTAAGTCATGCCTTCTTAGGTAGCTTCTAGGGTGATTTTTGAGTATTATTTTTTTTCCTTTTAGTGAGAAGAAAGGGGGCTTTAACAGCCTACCCTCATGATTCCTGCAGGTGAACCCTGGGAGCACCACCGATCTCCACCAACAGCTAAATCCCTTCAATGGCATGCATTTCTTTTTTTATTTTATTTATTTATTCATTTACTTTAATCTGACAAGAGAGAGAAGGGAAAGTGAGAAAGCAAGCCACCTGGTCCAGGATTCGAACCATGGTTGGCCATGTGGGTATGTCCAACACCTTAACCACTATGCCACCTGCTGGCCCCAATGGCATGCATTTCTCATGGCCCGTTCCCTCAGTTATACTTCTCTCATGGAAAAGCAGGTCAAATAATACTCCAAAGCAGAAGCACACTAAGCTATGAAAAACAAGAATAAAGCCCATCAAAATAACTACCTAATGTTTAAAAACTATCCTACCTTTCATTACCTCTACCATTTCAAAACTGATTCCTTAACACCATTAAGTTACATCACAGGACTCCAGGACAGAGCTGCAGACCTTACCAATGATGCCCATCATGTCTTGACAGCTAGCAGAGTCAGTGCCACTCACCAGCAGATGCAGTCCCCAGCACCACTGGTGGTGTCCTCGCAACACTGACATCCCAGATACCATCCCTGTGGCCAACGTACTCTTTCACAAGCTGGCAGACGGCCCTTGACGTGGTAGTCTTAAAGCTGGAAACAATCTAGGATTGAGAATAAAGGAGTGAATTTCTCTATGTTAAAAAAAGCAAAATAGAAAAGAGGTATCTTTTTTTATCTACATAAGGTACCAAAGAGTATTTAAGACATTAAAAGAAACACAACATAAAGGGTGAACAGAAATCAAAACACTCTGTATACTGGTGGCAGGTTCATTCAACTTGACATCACCAAGATGAAGTCCTTACAAAGGCTCAGGAGACTTCCCCACTTCACATTCTGACAGGAGTCAAACACATAATGCCTTACTATAGAAGGGCTATTCAGACATTTCAAGAGAGTCTTCCACAATTCCGTATCATCAGACAAAATTTCCAAATTCTTTAAAAATAAATAAACAGCTATTAACTAGCCAGTTGGACATGAAGTCAGGAAAAATACAGCAAACTGTTGAGGCTAATTACTTTGATCACTGGGGGCATTTTCACTTTTTTTGTTTTTGATCATTTGCACAAACCACATATGGTCAAGAGAAAAGAAAGCCCATGGTGGGAGAAGAATTGAAAGATGACACTTCTAACAGATGAGAAGGTTTATTCAAGACTGTTTATTGAGCAGCTGATTGGAGCCAGGCAATGAGCTGAGTAGAGACGAAAAGCAAAGTGACAGCGGGCTCCCTGCCTCTTAGAAGCTCACAGTCTAATGGGAGACAGACGTGAACACAACATGGACTGAAAGGTACACATACACAGCAATGCATCATCTTGTACAACAATATATGTAACAAACAATCCTCATCAAGAAAAATGTAAAATGAGGGAGGAAGAAGCTATACACAAAACTCAGATAAAGGAATAGTTTTTCAGTTTTTAAGTAAACCAGACATAATGTAAATTATTCAAAATAACAAAACCATAAGTGAAAAATGAAAACTGGTGGCACTATATGGCTTGTTTTAAACCCTGGTTTAGCAAAGCCCTGAAAAAAGTATTTAAATTCATTCTTACATAAACACATTAAAGCACAATCCACTGTTGTGTCAATTCAGGAATGAACACAGAAATTATTCTCCTGATACAGTGAAAGACTAAAACAAAAAGCTTGATGAAGTGACTGACTGACAGTTTCACCAGTAACATAAATAGGTTCCATTGACTTGGTTTAAACTTAACAGGAGTAATAAAATAAATCTTTGCATCTCGAACTTAACAATACCGTCCCTTCCTTCTGAAAGCCAAAATATCCTGTTCAACTCTAGACAATATGGTGAAATGCTTTTGCTTACATAAAGGTCATTGAGATGTTAAATATAATACTATAACATTTGAGGGGAGGGTAAAGTTAAAGATAATAATAACAATAAGCTGTAGTTATTTGCATTGTCCAAGTTTCTTACCATTTCTAACATAAATAATGCTATAAGAAACAAACTAGTGGAGCCACATTCTTTGCCTACCCCGTTCATAAGGCAGGAGTAGAGGGACTATTGTCATGAGACCCCAGCTGCATTTCTGGTGGAATTTTGGGAGCAGATGATAATGTGCTGTTTATAAATACTGTAACAAGTCATGTCATATGCTGTTTCCAAAATGCCCATTACACTTTGACTCTTTCAATTTTAATTCTGTTCTAAAAAATGTTGACTTAAGTCACAATTACAAAGAAGCCCAAGAATATAAACCAAATCACTTAAAAAGAAGTTTATGACAGAAAATCAATCAATGAATTGGTAACTTACACCTGTCACTCTAAGTCATTTTAATTGAGATATAACCTCCAGCACTTTTAAAAGAATCCAAAAGTACTATTTTCATAATAAAAGATATATATCTTTTTTTTAAACATTGACTAATTGATTGATTGTGATTTTTCAAGCCACCAGGTTTGGGACTTGAACCATAGTCAGCCATGTGGGAGTCCAGTGCCTCAACCACCATGCCACCTGCTGGTCCCAAAGATACTTATCGTTATTAAAATATTTGCAAACACTTTCATAGGTTTCTTTTATTTAAAGTGGTTTTGTGGGTTGGACTGTCTTACCTCCTCCCCAATAAAGCATTAAAAATATGTCATTAGCCATCCAGGAAAGAAAAAAAATCTCTGCTGGGTTTACTTAATATACTTTATGTGCCACTATCTTACCAAAATTCTACTGCCTTTCACAGTTCTGAATCAGGAGGAAAGTAATAAATCTAGACTGTCAAATTTATCTTGTTGCATTCTTGCTTAGTTTTAATACCGAGAATCCATGCTGCAGCACAAATGAGAATATATTCTGTTACCAAATTATTTCCTCAACTTTCAGGTAACGTCTTTCATTTTCATTACTATTTTTTAAGATGGGCACACAGTGTGAAAAATGCTATACGAAGATCATTTGTAATTTTTTTTTTTTTTTTTACAAATTCAGATAAATGTCTAGTACCTAAAATGACTGGGACCTTAATACTGCTACTATATTTTTTTAAGCAAAACATTATTGTACATATTCTTACCTTTGTGCAAATATTTCTTTTTTACTGTTCGTGTAAGGAATAACTTTATATAATCATTCGTCTACTCTTTCAGAAATTATTTGAAAGTTTTAAAATGCTAAGACCGTAAGACCATACATTGGACTCGTATACAACTGTAAGCGTGAGAAAAGGCAGTATGATTCAAGATAAGGTAACAAGAACTTAAGTGAGGAAAAAAGTAATTCTTAATACTGTGTCCTGAAGAAAAGGCTTAAATTTAAATTAAAACTACTAAGTGCAAGCTAGATGTTACAACCAAAGAAAAAAATGGGTAAAGCAGCTACTGATACTCTAGACATTACAAAGTTAGAAAATGCCAGCAATATTCAGATTTTCTTTTTAATAACAATTACCAAAGGGTTTCAAAGGAGAAATAGCACACAGGCTGAATTTGCTTTATTAATTGCAGTTAATTTCACTGTAGATGTCATGCTAAATAACTTTGAGTTCAAGAAAACAAATTAGAAAAGTAGAAAGCTAACAATAACTATACCATCATAGCAAATTCACTGAAAATTCCAACTTTTTCCTTCAGGTTTAGTGAAAGGACTGTACATTCATTAAGGATAGGTAATTAATTGATCTTCTGTATACTGAAATGCTCCAATACAGAGATAATATACAAAACTTCCTCAAAACATTATTTCATAGTGGTACTCCATCTTAGATACACTCCCAATTAAATCCCTGCCACTTTAAAAAGGTCGGAACAAGATATTCTAAAAAAAGCAAAACACTACGCATGTCCCTCTTTGTGTCAGAGACAAACCTTTCCTTCCTGATCACGCTTAGAAAATTAATAAAAAAGGAAGATAATTAAAATAAAAACATAAATGTAACTCAGAACATAATTTTCATTGCTTTACACCTATTTAATATCTATCTCCCTATTAAGAGCCTCGATACCAAATCAATTAACAACAGAAAACTTATCTTACCTCTAAAGACGATATATTAACAAACGCACTGTATTAATCTCGGTAAGCATTCGGGAAAGATGGGCTCTAAATGTCTGCGTC